ACCTTCGATTTAAACGAGCACCTTCTGCTCTCAGGGCTTGTCTTTATGAAAACCCAGCCCTGACACAGCAGTGGTTAAACGCTGGTTTGACAAGGATGGAGTTCCTCTGGATCTAAACTCTACGGTGTAGCATTAACCAGAGTCAGTTTTAGTGCTCTGCCAGTGCCAGAGGTATTATCAGAGGTATTATCAGATTGGGTTGGCCATTTCCTTTAAGAACATGCCAGCCAAACAAAGAAATAACCTTGAAGAAAACAAAGTTTTCATTTTTAAGAAGAAAATACAGGTTCTGGTTACCAATTACAGTCATTGTATATCATCTGCTGTGTACCAAGTGCACTCCAGCACCCTGGGGTAAGCTGTATTCTTCCCCAAACTTTAATCAAGGAGTGGTCTGCTCCCTGTAACATCACAAGGAAAAGTATCTCCTATCCTAGGGAGAAACCGATCAAAAATCACCCACTGAGCTGTGCGTGTGCCACTCTGAGGGTTTATATTTGGGCACTACAACTTGCAGAAGACAAAATCTTAGTAGTAATCAATTTTCTTCAATACGTCTTCATCCTATGCACAATTTTACTGTATTTCTTTGCACCTGATTCCACACCCGTCATGCATGATCAGAGAATATGTAAGTTATACGTAGGGTAGAGCTCCTTCCTCGGTTCCTCTGAGTTGTTAGATTTCAAAGGATTCAGGATCTCCAAGGAAGGAGGCGATGAGATCACAGAATCACAGACTGGTTTGGGTTGGAAGGGACCTTAAAGATCATCTAGTTCCCACCCCCCTGCCATGGGCAGGGACACCTTCCACTAGACCAGGTTGCTCTAAGCCTCATCCAGCCTGGCCTTGGACACTTCCAGGGATGGGGCATCCACAGCTTCTCTGGGCAACCTGTCCCAGTGCTTCAACACCCTCTGCGGGAAGAATTTCTTCCTGATATTTAATCTAAACCTCCCCACTTTCAATATAAACCCATTACCCCTTGTAATGAATAGATGAATAAAACTATGCACAGTACACCCCGGAGGAACCACATTACCTATGTATTTCGTCTCTGAAAAGTTCTGAGTCAGCTCATGTTGTATTAGACGGCACACAGACAGCGGTTTGTCTTCCGAGAGTTAAGCAGGCTGGCACTACAGCAACGTGTCAGGAATGTAAAATTCCGCAGGGAGAAACGCGCAGGTGGAAGCATCTAGTGATGACTAAAATAGCTTTGCTAGAAGAAAGGCAGAATTTAATCTCAATGTGCTTATCATGGAATCATTAAGGTTGGAAAAGGCCTGTAAGATGATCCAAGTCCAACCATCACCCCAACGCTGCCGTACCCACTAGACCATGTCCTCAAGCACCACGTCTACACATTCCTTGAACACCTTCAGGGATGGTGACTCCACCCCTTCCCTGGGCAGCCTGTTCAGTGCCTGAGCACTCTGTCAGAAGTTACCTTCCCCTCCAGAAACGATGAAGAAAGAAAAGGAGAAAGAGGGGAGATTTGCAAAGGAAAAAGCGCCGAAGAGTAGGTCAAGAAGCCCAAATGGGATGGAACAGGCATGCTACTCCAGAAAGGAACCAAAAATATAATGTATTTCAAGAGAAAACACACCAAAAAACTCCCCAAACAAACCCAAAAGGAGGAAGGGAGAATACCTCTGGAATGAGGAATTCCAGTACACACTATCTCACGCACAAGAGGAGAGAGAGCATGTGCACACACACATGATCTACAAATACCGTTCAGCAAACGTCCGTGTCTTCAAAGCGCTCGCAGCACACACACACGGTCACTTCCCATCAGTACGGCCCACAGATGATGCTCTAGGGTCCTGCAGGGTGACACAGCCTGCGGCTTGAGCAGATTATCTCAAAGTTACCAAATTTTCAGCCTGCAACCCTTGTCATCTTCTAATGTGCTGTATACTTTTTCCCTGTGAGGGTGACAGAGCCCTGAACAGGCTGCCCAGGGAGGTGGTGGAGTCTCCTTCCCTGGAGACTTTCCAAAGCCCCTGGACTTGTTCCTGTGTGATCCGCTCTAGGGGATCCTGCTCTGGCAGGGGGGTTGGACTAGATGAGCTAGATGAGCTCTAGAGGTCCCTTCCAACCCCCACCACGCTGTGAAGCTGTGTAAACAAGAGCTTTCTGTGTCTAAATGTTGACCATCATGGCAAGAAACAACATTACACAGAATCACAG